AGCAAAAAAACTAATAGAATTCATGATGATAAACTTCAATAACATAGAATCTAGATTATTATTATTATATAAAAATGTATCACACCCACCGTTGAATATAGTATTTTAGTTTACAATAATTGCAACAATAGTGGTTTGATGAAAATTGAAGGTTCTCAAATAAAATCCACCAAAGCCGCTTTGGAGCATTTCAACAACAAGGATTATCATCAGTAATGTCACCAACTCAAGTTACAGTCTCTCTGAATTAGGCGCATTACACCAAACATTGCCACTATGTACTGCGTTATAAATGGCACTTCTCACTCTTCCGCATCAACCCTTTCGTACTCTATCATATCATCCCACAACCTGAGCAATAAGGAGCATGTAGTGGCCTAAATCTGATTGCTTTTTGATCGTACGTACTGTCTATCCTCGTATGTAATAAATGACTTTATCCGCGTTAGTGAATAACGGAGTTAAATAAGTCAAATACGAGAATGGATTTAGAATACATATAATTTCTACACTCATTGGTCTGGCCAGGGAATCAGAGTGATGAAGCGAATAGATGAAAGCGGAACGAAACAAAATTGATGCTCATTGAAAATGGCTGGGAAGCCAACTCGATTTAAGCAAGCGTTAATCAACATTTATAGTCGGACAAAAATGAGTGACAGACATACGATGAATAAGATACGAAGTGTACACATATATGCTCATATAAAAGTACAGTCAAGGTTAATAAGCAAATGATTACTTACTTACTTACGCCTGTTACCCCTCGTCGAGGAGCATAGGCCGCTCACCAGCATTCTCCATCCAAATCTGTCCTGAGCCTTCCTTTCCAGTTGCTATTCATCCTTTTCATATCGGCTTCTATTTCCCGGCGTAGTGTGTTCTTTGGCCTTCATCTTTTCCGCTTCCCTTCCGGATTCCAAGTTAGGGATTGAGTCGTGATGCACATTGGTGATTTCCTTAGTGTATGTCCGATCCACTTCCAACGTCTTTTCCTTATTTCCTCTTCAGCTGGAAGCTGGTTTGTCCTCTCCCATAAAACGATGTTGCTGATAGTATCCGGCCAGTGGATGTTCAGTATTTTGCGTAGACAACTGTTTATAAATACTTGTACCTTCCTGATGATGGCCGTAGTAGTTCTCCACGTTTCAGCTCCATACAGTAGGACTGTCTTGACGTTCGTATTAAAGATTCTCACCTTGAAATTGGTTGAGAGTTGTTTTGAGTTCCATATGTTCTGCAATTGTAGAAATGCTGCCCTTGCTTTGCCAATCCTTGCCTTTACATCTGCATCCGATCCCCCTTGTTTATCAACGATGCTCCCCAGGTACTTGAATGTTTCCACCTCTTCCAGAGTTTCGCCATCAAGTGTGATTGGGTTGGTGTTCTCCGTGTTGCATTTGAGAATCTTGCTTTTTCCTTTGTGAATGTGGAGGCCTATCGATGCGAAGGCTGCTGCTACATTTGCTGTCTTCATCTGCATTTGGTCGTGTGTATGAGAGAGGAGGGCTAGGTCATCTGCGAAGTCCAAATCATCTAATTGATTCTGAGAAGTCCATTGTATTCCGTATTTCCCTTCAGATGTCGAATTCGTCATAATCCAGTCAATCACTAGAAGGAAGAGAAATGGGGAGAGTAGACAGCCTTGTCTGACTCCGGTCCTTACTGGAAATGCATCTGTCAGCTGTCCTCCATGCACCACTTTGCACTGTAATCCATCGTATGAGTTTTGGATAACGTTGACGATCTTCTGAGGAACTCCATAGTGTCGAAGAAGTTTCCACAATGTTCTCCTGTCCACGCTGTCAAACGCCTTCTCATAGTCAATGAAGTTGACGTATAGTGATGAGTTCCACTCAACTGATTGTTCAACGATGATCCGTAGTGTCGCAATCTGGTCTGTGCACGACCGATCCTTACGGAATCCAGCCTGATGATCCCTAAGTTCGGCGTCTACTGCGTCTTTCATCCGATTCAGCAGCACTCTGTTGAAAACTTTTCCTGGTACTGATAACAAACTGATGCCTCTGTAGTTCTCGCATTTGCTCAGATCTCCTTTCTTTGGTATCTTGATGAGATATCCTTCTTTCCAGTCCGTTGGCACTTGTTCCTCTTCCCAAATCTTTTTGAATAGAAGGTGAAGCATGTTTGCAGTTATTTCAATGTCTGACTTCAGTGCTTCTGCTGGTATATTGTCAGGTCCTGCCGCCTTCCCACTTTTGATTTGTCTGATGGCCATCTTGACTTCTTCGATCGTTGGTGGAGTGACATCTATTGGAAGATCAGTGTGGGCTGCTTCGATGTTCGGTGGATTCAATGGGGCTGGTCTATTCAGCAGTTCCTCAAAGTATTCTGCCCATCTTTTCCTCTGTTCCTGAATCTCAGTGATTGTCTTTCCTTCTTTGTCTTTGACTGGTCTCTCTGGTTTGCTATATCTCCCTGCCAATTTCTTCGTTGTATCATATAGTTGTTTCATATTCCCTTCTCTTGCAGCTTTTTCCGCCGCCGTTGCTAGTTCTCCCATGTATTTCTGCTTGTCGGCTTTAATGCTTTTCTTCACTTCTCTGTTTGCTTCTGCGTAGTCTGCTTGTGCTTTGACTTTCTCTGCTCGTGTTCGGCTGTTGTTAATTGCTAGTTTCTTGTTCTTCCTTTCTTGAAGTTTGTCCAGGGTCCCCATAGAGATCCATTCCTTGTGATGGTGCTTCTTAGGACCAAGAACCTGCTGACACGTTGAAGTTAGTGCTTCTTTTATCCCTTTCCAGTTGTCCTCCAAAGTAGTTTCTTGTTCTTTCAGTAGATCCTGTAGAGCTTGGAACCTGTTGTTGAGAGTTATCTTGAATTCATGGAGTTTGTCAGTATCTCGAAGGAAAGCTGTATTAAACCGTTGTAGTGCTGTTTGTCCAGTCTTTCTTTAGCTTCAGTCTCATCTTGGCCAAAACCAGGTGGTGATCTGAAGCTATGTCAGCTCCTCTCCGGGTTCTCACATCTTCCATTGATCTACGGAATTTTTTGTTGATACAGATGTGATCAATCTGGTTCTCTGTGGTGTGGTCCGGTGAGATCCATGTGGCTGTGTGTATGCGTTTGTGTGGGAATATTGTGCCGCCTATAACCAATTTGTTGAAAGCACATAGGTTTGCAAGTCTCTCCCCATTTTCATTTCTTTCTCCTAGTCCATGTCGTCCGATTATATCTTCATATCCTGTGTTGTCCACTCCAACTTTAGCATTTAGATCTCCCATAAGGATGGTGAGGTCCTTTCGTGAGCACTTTGCTATAATTGATTGCAGCCTTTCATAGAACTGATCTTTATCATCGTCGTTGCTATCATTGGTGGGTGCATAACATTGGATAACATTCATTGTGATCCCTTGCTTCTTTGTTCTGAATGATGCTTTGATTATCCTGGGTCCATGAGATTCCCATCCCACAAGTGCATTTCGTGCTTCTCTGGACAGCATTAGAGCAACTCTCTGAGTGTGTGGAGCATTTTCCCCTTCGTGACCGGAGTACAGCAGCATCTCTCCTGTACCTAGCCTTTGTTGTCCAGTTTGTGTCCAATTGGTTTCGCTGATTCCGAGTACTGCCAAGTTGTATCTCCTCATTTCCATTGCTATTTGGCTGGTCTTTCCTGTTTCCCACATTGTCCGGACGTTCCATGTACCTATAAAGAGTGTTGCTCTGGTTGTTAGAAGGTGCATCGGTCTCGTGACTTCCGAAGAATTTCGGCTTTCATCATGAGACGTCATTATTCCTTCAACTCCCAGGGCAGAGTTTAAATGGTTTGGATTATTTTTTCTGGTTAGAGTTTTTTTTAGCGAGTTAGCTTTTCTACGGGATGGGGTGGCTAACCCCATGCCCAACCCTCCTCCTTTACCCGGGCTTGAGACCGGCAGTAACTCTAGAAGAGCTACAGGCGGAGTTAAGCAAATGATTAACAAGATCAAAATATGACTCATAATGGATAGGCGAATTGGCTTGGCCAGCAACTAGAATAAAGTATATGGGCTTAACATATAAACTGATACTACAAGCACATTCTATAAATTCCGAGATCATGTAAAAAATTACGCCAGAGTTTCTTTGTTATTCGTTATTCAACCATGTGTAACAGACTCCCAGTAAGCCTTTACTGCAGTAAAACTATAACTCAGTCCGAGATTCTCCTTGATGACTTCTTCCCCAGTGGTTTGCGTCACCTATCAAATGCCAGTATGATTACCAATGATGATTAAATGTAATAAAGCAGAAATATTACCTTATATATGTTTTGTCTTTTTATAATATACCCGAATTTTGTCTTTGTTTTGCTCCTCACTAACGAAGGGGAATTTTGTTGGCAATAATTACACTAAGTCATTCAATAATATAGAAGCGACAACCAAAAACCCAAGAAGGTTGTATACTATATACAAAAGTATTCTATTAAAACATCACTTCCAAACTAACATTCGAGCGATAAATTAACCTTAACCGACCGTTTTATTTCTTGCATCTAGTTGTAGAACTACATTATAATGGACGGGATGAGTATGCGTTTAGTCAGTGCTAGTCTTAATCCTAATTTAGAGTTAATTGGAAGAGTACAACTGCCTAGAAATACATAGTAAAATATTAAAGCTACACCATCCGATGACTTGAAACCCTCTCCAATCTAATATGGTGACAAGAGTGGATTGTCGCAGTACAAATATACAGAATAATAAAATTGTTTACAAGAGATATCCAAAATAAATGAAATGCTCCTCATATTTTAACGAAAATTAGAACATTCACAAAATATAGTGAAATCCACAGTATTGTATTTTATTCCAGTAAAGAGAGTTATCACTGAATACAACAGATTTTGAAGCCTATTGAAACTACATTACATTTTAGAGTCGCTTTACCTTTAAAAAAATGAGTCCTAATATTGATCAAATATTAATATAAGCGCAGTTATAATATACACAATGGTTTAGTGATTACTATTTACATGGAATTCCTTTTTCTTTTAGAAATCATTGAAATCCTTGTTTCTTTAAACAGGAATTGTAGTGTTCACCGAGTGCGAACGCGTAACGGTGGTATCTAAACGATTTTTTAATGGGAAAAAAATACAGGAAAATTAGGTAACCAAGTAAGCAGACCTAAAATCTAAAAATGGTCAATTATACTAAACCGTTTTTCACAACCTCATCGGTTGATTTGTCATGTTTATCTAATACCCGATGCCTAACTAAATGACAAATGCTAAGATTAGGCATATAATGTTAGGCAAAGATGGTGAATCGGCTGGTGAGGTTGCAAGTTTTCATTGACTGAGATGGTTCGAACAAGAGTTACGTATGCCCAAACATTGCATACTTCGGTGGAGGATGTTTATTGGTGTAAAAGTAAGTAGGAAGGAGGCTTAGGGTGACTGAATTAGTCTCTGAAATAATTGGCTGTTGACGTGGTCAATTTTGATGGTGAAAACTATCTGGTTGGAGTATATTTAATAACTGTGATCATTGGTTGGAGATATTGAGTGATATGGCCCAAAATACCTCAGAACGGCTCTACGTTGATTAAAGCTGAATGACTTCCCCAATCATATATATATATATAAAGCAAACGGATAATAATACCAACATTCTCGGAAAGAAAAAATATTAGTATCAGTACATTAATGAACTTACACAATAGTGATTGGTGGCTGTTCAGAAAACTCTTCCCCAATAATTAATGAGACTCCTTCAGCTTGTAATATTTCAATAGGAAGTTGAAGCATTGTAGATAAGGCACGGATCTGTAAGAGAAAATGTGAACGAACAGTGAAAATAATCGATAAGATGCGGAAGAATCAGGACTAACATTTAGGTCAGTAGTTCAATCCTAAGATGATTGAGTTTCAGTTACTGAGTCCCCTATGTTTGAATGCCTCTCCCTTTACTTCAGCCTGAGGGATCGCGTAGTTTCATTATCCGTTACATTTAGAATGTGGCTCATACCTAAGTACCTAGAGAATGAATTAACTTAATACTATTTTTAGCGATTGTTGTAACTGAATGAATGCTCTGAAAAAAGCGATTTGTTTGACAGTAGTTATTTTTCTAGCTTCTCTCCCTGCTTTGTATTTTAACTTTTATCCAGGACTTGTGTAACCATATTTCTATACTTTTCAATCCTTTTTGACTAGGTCTTATATATATATATATATATATATATATATATATATATATGATTGCTTAGTAGAGCAGATTGTGGAGATTACTTTATTTGAAAAAGCTTTTATCGCAAAATAATACTATTTAGAGAAGCATCAAAAACAAAGTAGGACTGGGCAGTCGTTTCGTTCTAATGCAATCACCCACTATCCCAAAACGGAAATGAACAAAAACCTTTATTTCATGGTATGTTACATTTATATCATTGGTTGGGAATTTGGTGATTCACATTTCTAATGTCAATCAACTCTACGTGATACCTGGAGGTCTAGGGTTCGAACCAGTGTGGAGCGATGGGAGATTATTTATGAAGAGCCGTAGTCTAAGGCAAAAAGCTGTATCTAGCACTATATGGCTTTCAGAAGTCCAGTCAATGACGAAAACCACCTTTAACCTTAAGTAATCACTTTGTAAAACAACAATCTATATTCAAAATGGAAATAAATGTTTAATCATAGAGTGAATGGATTGTCACTGCTAAGTTATTTACAATAGGATGGTGAATAATATTTAACGTTACATATAGGTAAATAGAAGAGTCATTGGAAGAACATTTATAAACATCAAGGAAATAAATGTCTCCTTTAAAATATAAACAATCACAAGTCAACTTTTGTAAAAATACATTATAAACAAATTAGTCACTAAATAACAAGTGATCTGAGAGACACATATGTAACAGTATCTCAGAGGAAATTATTACTCAATAAAAACAACTTATAAGAAGGGTATATTAAATACAATTTAACTGTAGATTATCTGGTAAATAAGCACATTAATTTTGGAAACCAACATAAACAAAACATACGAATTAATAGGCAAAAATGTGAAAAGAGCACTGTTACTAACTTCAATTTGTCCACCCCACGTTGATGTTTTTTCTATATTGTCACAATATTGTTCAAAATTAGCTACAAATAAGAGGAAAGTGAAACTATCAAAAAATTCTGACAACGTTATCCAATATATTTACGATTTGAACTGAATATTTTCAAGTCTAATTTCAATTTCAAGAAACTCTTACAACCATCGTTAATTCTTAAAGATGAAAAGTTTATTTCATTAGGACTGATATTAGCATAAGGCTATAGTGATGAAATAAATTCACTGTAATATACGTCACCATAAACATACAGTAAAAAAGCATTAGTTGACAACCATTCATAACTTATAATCAATCCGGATAAGTTAGTGGGTTAGAGCACAGACATGTTTTACATATCGATGCAGAAAATCAGTGCTTGCGCTAGTATATGAGCGTTTTGTAAAGGATGAAGCGGGATTAAACTTCGACATGACATCAGTCTAGGCAGTCATTATATAAGACGGTTTAAGTCATCTTAGTGGTTGAAACTTTCATGGGTAAGGGTAAATGATATAATTATTGTATATGATTAAAGGCGTGGGTGATATGGTTTTTCAAGATCAAATGATATATTGCAGTTGTATTTTATTCACTGTATCCCTCTTAATAGATCTTGAACATATTATTTTTCCTCGGAGACTTAACGAACGTCTTTATAAACTAAAGTTCTTTTTTTACTAAAATTAGCTTTCAGAATATGATTAGTTAACATTATGACAATGACATTATCATTTCTTGACACTTGAATATCATCAAAGCGTTAATTGTCTTGACCAGCTAATGAATCATTGATTGAATTTGCAAAGTTGTTTAAATTAACTATTTTATACTTTAAGATATCTAGCTACTAACATTGTTGGAGTTAGCAGAGATGGATAGTGGCTAGCAGTGGAATCCAGGACGCGCGTTTCGTCCTATTTGGGACTCGTCAGCTGGATGTACCTGCATCTCAGAGTTGATGTTCACTCTGGGACTCGAACCCAGTACCCTCGCTTCAAACGCCGTCGCGTGGGAAGAACATCGATGGGAAGATCCAAACAAACAATACTAAGTGAATTCAAACTTCACCCCATCGCACAAGCAAGTGGCTATCAGGACTCAGTGGCCGAGTGGATAACGCGATGGCGTTTGAAGCGAGGGTACTGGGTTCGAGTCCCAGAGTGAACATCAACTCTGAGATGCAGGTACATCCAGCTGACGAGTCCCAAATGGGACGAAACGCGCTTTCTGGGTTCCACTGCTAGCCACTATCCATCTCTGCTTACCATGCTTGTGAATTAAGGTATATCGAGGCAATACGCACAGTATGCACATATGCCAATTAGAGACTGACCAGTTGCAGTCCTAAACACATCGATGGGAAGATCCAAACAAACAATACTAAGTGAATTGTTGGAGTTAGCTGAACTAATTTATTAGTATGTCCAAGTGAATATACTTTATACCAAAAGATGGGAATGTCGATGTTGAAAAAAAGTAATTGGGAGTAATTACCGCAACTCAATAACTAAAGTTATAAAGTACTATACCAAGATTGGATTAAAGCAAAAACAACAAACACAGTAGAATAACGTGAATTCATGTCCATCCCATGGGTTCTCTTTAGCTGATTAAAATCTAGAAACAGCACTAATATTTTAGTCATTTGTAAAGGTTGTTTAGATCTTCGCACTGTTGATGTCAAGAACCCCAATTAATTTACTTCGTTTGACATATGTGCATAATATGCAGAATGCCTCGATATTGCCATCAAACCACAACCACTTTAAGCAGCTGACGAGTCCTAAATAGGATGAAAGGAGCATCTTGGATACCACTGCTATCCACTAACCAACTCTTCTTAAAATCCTCGTGACTAAATGGTAATATTAAGGCAATCAGCACAGAATCCACATTTGCCAAAAGAGATTGAACAACTCCGATCCTTAAAGTTGATGAGAATATTTAAACAAACAATACATAAAAGTTAACATTCGTCCCAATGCACAAACCAGTGGCTAAATGGATAACGCGACGGCGTTTGAAGTGAATGGTACTTTGTTCAAGCCCCGATTTGAAAAGCAACACTGTGGCAACTTCACATACAGCTGGGTCACAAATAGGATAAAACATATATCCTGTACTTCATTGCTACCCATTACCTAACTCTGTTTATTATTAATACTTATCAAAAACCAGTGTACATTATTTGTAACGTATAAATGAAGATTGGTAAAAAGGACAAGAAATATGATGAATTATAAAATATTCAAATGGTTGAATATTTATAATATTTACTAATGTGTTCAGCTCCGACGTTTAATTGCATAATATACTACTTCGTGCTCCGAATTATATAAATGCCTTTTTTTCATTTTTACATCATTCTTTTAAGTTTTTTTCATTTTACTCTATAAATATATCCATTTTAACAGTTTCTGTTACGCACTCTTCATTTTCTAGGAGGTTGTTTCCATGTGTTTTCGAAATTTTCCCTCCAGAACTTTCACACTAATTAACATACAAATATCCAACCAATTAAAACCTTCATAGTTCTTCCTTAAGTATTGTGGTTATTTTACCAATCTTCATTAATACAATATATTGTAATTGGTATCAAATAATTATTACTATTATTTCTAGTTAATGAGCAAGTGAAGAGAATTCGCATCATAAATAAATTCATAATAATTAAGCTGGCACGTTTGTTGTTTTTGCTTTGTTCAAATTTATTAATGGAAAGAATTGCATGAAGTTACTCAGATTAGAGCCAAATGTAGTTTATCGGGTTGACTGGTTCATTTATCTTAGAAGTTTCATCAGTCTTGATGTGGTGTTGTGCGACGAAGTCTTTGCGTGTGTTCAGAAAGTTTAATTGGCTTATGATCTTTTCTTGAGTAGTTTTAGATAAACTACCTTGTACTTTTAAGGCCTTGCCACTGGTAATCGATGTCTATGGAGTAAGTTGAAGTATATCTGTCAGTGTAGGAAGATAAATGCTGGTTATTTGGAGGAAATGCCTTACCGACGTTTTCCCCCTATACAATTAGCAGTACGACTTTACCCCCGAGCTAAAATTGTGCGCTTTTATTAATACCACCTTTCAATCAAACTCCTTGGCATAGTAAGATCCAAAAGAACAATTTTTTCAGCTAGTGTTGCTTGATCAAGTCACTAAAATCAGAAAGCGCGGCCACCACGCCAAGGTATCGGTTACAGTTTGGACCAGACGGGTAATACAGTAACTAGCTTTTATGCAAAAGGTATAGCCTTAAGACAGGACAACAGACAGATCAAGAGAATCTCAATCTTGAGTGACATAAAAGAATTAACAGGATCATGTTAATTATGATAGAAAATGTTTTAAAATACTCTAATCGACACAAGACTGCAAGGTTTCGACATAATTCAAAAATAATAATTCGTAATGAATTAAATTAATTAGTACACATTGAAATAAACATATACGACTAAATGAGATGATGATAAATTAGCTTCTCCTGATTTCAGTGAGTACTAGAATAGGGGACAGAAATAAATCAACATATAAAGTTGCAATTTTCAAACCATACAACGAAATTTAGTCTGTCAATACAACAGAATACAAGGTAATTAATTCATCGAATTAATCATTCAAATAAGTCAATAGATTTTCATCGCTGAGTTTGTCTACGATGCTCGCTAATTGTGTCGTACTTAGAGCACTTGGTCGATTCCCTACTCATTTGTTAGGTGATTGCTGGATATTAGCGTGATTTCCACCACAGATTTCATTTTTAGCCCTAATATTTACTACATTTACGTTTTTTATTCGAGATGTTACGCCACACTTTACTCAACACCTTCATAGTAGACAGATGATTTTTACTTATCCCTTTGATCAATAAAAAAGTTAATATTTGCTATCACACATTCAACCAGTCATATGGTGTACAGTGTTACAAAGAAAAGTATGCTGGGAGTTATATGGCCACGTATGAAGTTGTGAATATAAAATGTGAAGGTGAACAGCGATTCAGTGCTAATTTCTTTTCAACAGGTCAACAGTTGACTAGAGTTCCTGATGAGATCTACCTTTTAAACTAAATAAGTCGTAATAAATAACTTAACTGAATTACACTTTTTAAAAAAAGAAGTTTGTTGCGAAATATGTACAGGAAATTACGGCAATCAATTAAATTACAATACCTATACTCATTGGTTCTCCAGAATCTGGGTTGAACAAAAATGGTAGGAAATCATTCATATTCTTGCGAATGTGATACGACGCAAGATGACGCAAAATTTTCACCACTTGTTTCATTGTCTGATCGGTATTAATATCATTAAGATTTTCTGGATTAGACATCTCAATCTTTCCTAGTAATTCGTGTAATGGATAATTTCGAATTTTTAATTGATGCCCAATTGACTGATAAAGGCAATCTCCATCTGAAGGAACCTCATAATAAATAATACGAAGAAAGAACAGTAAAAGAATCATTGGTAGAAGAGTTATAACGACTATTTCTCTCTTAATTAGATATTAATGAAGCGCGGACATTTCTGCAAATGAATTACAGAAGTGAATTGACCAGTAAACATTGAGGTGATTACATTATACTAATATCTGTTTACTCGGTTTTGGGCGAGACATTTTGTGATAACTAATGATATAAACCTGTTGAAGCAGGTTTCGATCCTGAGAAAGTCAAGTGCTTTTATCAATAGGTCACCATACACATAGGTTACTACAAATGACACTTATTTTATATCTATCTAAGATTGTCTTTTAGAGGTACCTGAAAAGGAAAGTGGATTATAAGTGCTCTCAGTGACCTAAGAGAGTGACCGCAGTGCCCAAGGGACAACTGCTTGAGGTCGGTCACACACGACCTTTTTGTGTCAGCTCCGTATTTGTTGGGACCTTACCGCCAGAGACGGATATCCGTGGGATAAAGCGAGGTGTGCATTTTTAGGGTCGACCTTTTCTAACCTCACCCCTCCTTGTGGGAAGGCAGCGTCGCTGTTATGCTGGTTGCCTGAAGGAAGCATCTTATTGCCCTCACACCTCTGTACAGTCAGCAGTATGAATTTACCTTCGGACCTTGGGATTGCTGCTTTTAGTCTGACCGCTCTTCAACCGACCTGTCTGACATGGTAGGACCTTGAGGAACGGTTGTTCCAGCCAGTACAGCTCGATTGGTTAATCACGATAGACAAGCCTGACCACCACGTTACGGTAGCAGCAACGGCCAAGAAGATCATCTTTTAGAAAAATACGTCATAGTTACTAAGAATGAAATCTCCAATGTGTTCGTTTTCATTTGAGTAGGTCTGCTTGTATCCCAATGAAAATTGGGAGGCATAACACATGTACAAGTCCTTTCAGTAGATTAGTGAACATTCGTGTCCCCGAATTCCAGGAGTAACTTAGAAAACACTAAATCCGTAGTTACAATACAAACAAGGAATTCGTCGGAAAAGTCTATAACAAAACATACCTATAGCTTCTTATGTTATTTACCATGGGTTACGAAGTACATTTCAAATAATGGCGATACAATATATTGTACTTTCCAAAAATAAATCCCTAAACATTCAACCTTTCTAATACTAAAAAGTGATTGGGTATGAGCATTTCAACCTGCTATAAAACTATTAGCGAATATATCTATTATGATACCTATCTGAAATTCATCCGTTAAACTTATTTTGTAAAAATCCAAAATGGAAGAATCATCAGTGTATAGCATGATTTATCCACAATCGAAATTTACACGTGACACTGATGACACAGTCTCTGTGAAAAATACAACCAAAAGATAGACTTGTTTTTTTTTCGTAACAAAACAACTAATTACTTAGGGGAACTAAAAAAGTACCGGATAATTACAATGGATTTGATGTAAGCAACAGATATGCTTACATGCAACAAAAAACAATCACAAATCGACTGATATTTCACATACAAAACAATGACAGTCACAGAAGATTGAGGTAGTGAATACCCAAAATGTAGTAGGGATTCATCAAACAGAATATGAACTAACAATTGTGAAACAACAAAACTAAAAGCATGAAATCCCATGTCTGATAACTTGATGATTACCTATCTAGATAAACAAGACAATATATATATATATGCCCCCGAATGACCACAGACATGCTTATCGGCGTCCGACAATGATAGTTTTTCTTGACTTAAAAGCAGCATTTGATTCTGTAAACCGAGAGGTTCTGTGGCAGTGTCTGTCATTGAAAGGTGTACCTGAGAAGTACATAAACCTTGTGAAGGCTCTTTACTCGAACACTACCAGTCGAGTGGGAGCTTATGGCGAACTGTCATATGATTTTACAACCTCAAGTGGTGTCCGTCAAGACTGTCCACTATCCCCATTTTTGTTTAACTTCATTATAGACCTGTTGCTGGAAATAACACTCTCGTCGACTGAATTTTCAGGAATTGATCTTCTACCAGGAGGTTCACTTATCGACTTAGAATACGCAGATGACATAGTCCTGTTTGGTGAAGACACTGACAAAATGCAGTCTTCTGTTAAAACTAAGTAATAATGCCAGGATATTTGGGATGTGTTTCTCCCCATCCAAATGTAAATTGTTACTCCAGGACTGACCTGCGTCAACACCTGAACTAAGGATAGGGAGTGAAGTAGTCGAACGCGTTGACAACTTCACTTATCTTGGAAGTCTGATCAGCCCTAATGGGTTGGTGTCTGACGAAATCTCAGCACGGATTCAGGAAGCTCGTTTGGCTTTTGCCAACTCACATCACCTATGGCGAAGACGAGATATCCGTCTATCAATTAAGGGACGAGTATACTGCGCAGCAGTTCGTTCTGTTCTACTTTACGGCTGCGAAACATGGCCATTAAGAGTAGAAGATACTCGTAGGTTCCTAGTATTTGACCACAGATGCCTTAGAAATATTGCTCGCATCTGCTGGGATAACCGGGTAAGTAATAGTGAGGTTAGACGCAGGGTATTAGGGAACGATGGTAAATCAGTTGATGAGGTCATGAATCTTCATTGACTGAGATGGTTGGGCCACGTGTTACGTATGCCTGAACACCGATTACCACGACGCGCTATGCTGACTAGTATTGGGGATGGTTGGAAGAAAGTTAGGGGCGGCCAAACCAAAACATGGCATCAGTGCTTGAAGTCACTAACTTCTAGTTTGAGCCATGTTGGCAGATGCAGACAACCTGGTTGGGGTCCGCGTGACTATCGTAACCAATGGTTGGAGACTTTAGGTGACATGGCTCAGAATCGATCACAATGGCGTAGGTGTATACCCTCTTTATCCTCCCTTAAACCATGAGATTAAAATTGCTTCATAACTTTTTTCCTTCCTATACTATATCCTTATATACAACCTTTCTTTATATACTACCATCACTAAATTAATTACTTCTATGAATCCGGTGTTCATCTTGTTGTGCTAACGAGGTATGGCAACTTGGACCAATGCATATGTGTGCCTGGTCCTACATTGTAGCTGACTGACTGAATGCCCTGTTATGGCCGAGAGTGGGAAGGGCCCGCTCACTCTCTCGAAATGCTCCCACATGGCCACGCGTATACAGTCTCTGCCAGAGAAGTCCTACTCACCGTCTTCTCGTGGCAGGGGTGTTGTTTACGAAATTGAGAGGACGAAAAGCGAATGTCCGGCGCTTTAACCGGGTCGGTGGACACGGAAATTCTACCTAGGGGAGTTGGAAAACCCTTATTCCAAACCAATGGTGCACATGGGCACCAGTATCTTGAGAGAACAAATAGCGTATGAACCAACTGTTTGTTCACCGGCTATCATGGAACTGCATCTCCTCACGATGCTCCATTGCCTTGTGGATTAGGACTTTAGGTCGAAGGCTCCGGGTGTCCCCCCCTAAGAATACCACCTGATTCGGTCTTAGCACCCGAGCAGTATCATAGCCTTCACACAATTAAATGAAATGACATTTTTTGTGGCGCATATATATCTGGTGTCCCATTGTACCAATATTTGTGTTGAAATATATATATATATATATATATATATATAATATTGAAAGACCTGCTTCAGTTTGGGCACCTGGGCAGTATCATAGCCCTCACACAAATCGAATGAGAATTTTTTGGCGCATATGTACCTGGTGCTTCCTTGTACCAATATTTATGTGTCTAAATAAAAATAATAAATAAAAAATATTGAAAGAACAATGACAAGACGGAGTTGATCTGAAAAGTGTGACGCATTTGTGTCATACATTTCGAACAATCTGGTCACACACAGGATGGGTTTGAATTCGCGAATAGATAAGGCTTCTATAAACCTGAGGATTTACGCTTGACAATTTCTATACAATATCCTAAGACCCATTTCAATTGTATGTTTTGGTATCAATAAACATGCTTTCCTACTTCCCACGTTTACTGGGACATTTAACATGAACTGATTTTGAAGCCATCTAGGCATATTTTTCATAATCTTTGATTGCATTGTCCGATTACCCTTCCCTATGTATGTGTCAAGACAAACATGTAAATTAGTAAGTGCAATGGGATGTGAAGTGATCGTTCGTGCAGTGTCTAGGACTACTTGGAATCATGGGCTTAATCATTTCAATCACAATCAATTTAGCAGAGTAATATACTTCTCGATGGCTGCTTTTAGTCTGTCTTGAAATCAACCTCTTAGATTTACCTTTAAATTATAGGGAAGCATAAGCATTTTTCTTCGCAGCAGAATTAAAGAGGTTTTGGTGTTGACTAAATTTTTCACCTATTTATGAACTTTAGTGGATAACCGTTTGACATGTGTATTAGTCATCATCTTTGCGTCTTCTTTAAACGTATCTGTGGTACATATTCTTTGAGTCCTGTCAAAAAGGCACTCGTGCACCAGTGCTCGTTTATATCAATGGACAGAAACTGTGGAAATTTAAACATCGACCGAATCAGGTTGGCTTCTTATAAACTAACCGCCTTTTTGTTCCATCCACCAAATTATTCAAGGGTATGTTCAGAAATGGTAGTCAGTTATTACTTTTTTTTTCTTATGTTAGTGCGATATCATTCTGTACACTATTGAGTTTATCTAGTTATTTATTTATTTAATCACATATATATTGGTACAAAAGGCACCGGATACATATGCGCCACACAAAATAATGAGAATGGGAGGAGAAGGAAGATGTGTATATATAAAAGAAGGAAAAAAGAAAAGGAGAAGAGTAGTGATGGGGGGGAACTGAAATGTACAACCACAAGAGCTCTCTCAGTTAGGAAAGTTATAGCCACTCATTATGAAGAAAGTAAAAGGTTGCAGCAGGATCGCCACTGGCTTCTATTCTGAGCCATATCTGATAACGTCTCTAGCCACTGTGTTGCACCATCTCTCGGACCCCAGCCAGGGAATCGTGAAGGACCAACGGAAGCTAGCCATTTACAGCTTCAGTTCATGCCACGACACCATGTCATACACTGACCTCCTCTCCGCTTTCTCCAACCAGTCCCAGAGTCGGCAAATAATGCACGACGTGGAAGTCTCTGGGACGACATTCGTAAAACATGTCCAAGCCACCGAAGTCGGTGTTTCAAGATGGTGACACCAATTGAATTATCGTCTCTGCGCCCGAACACACGATGCCGAACCTCTGCATTGCTAACATGGTGTTGCCACTGAATGTCAGCAATCCTTCGGAGACAACGATGATCGAACACAGAGAGTCGTCTAACATCCTCAACTCGGAGAGGCCATGTTTCACAAGCACAAAGCAAAACTGCTGTCACCGACCCATTTTAGATCAGACCTTTTACAGCCAGACTAACATCAAGAAGGCGCCAAAGATGACCCAGGTTGGCATAAGCCGCTCTGGCTTTCATTATACGTGCATCAATCTCATCACTCACGCCACCACCAGCACTTATATAGCTACCTAGATACACGAACTTCTCAACTACTTCGATCTCCTCGCCATCAAGGGTGAGTACAGGATGAGAGTCCTGCCAGTCTTGTAGGAGTACTTTGCACTTGGAGGGTGCAAAGCACATGCCGTACCTGCGGACACTGATTGCCAACTGATTAAGTGCTGATTGCATGCCTTGGGCATTATCGCACAGTAAGACAATATCATCCGCATACTCAAGGTCGAGAAGTCGTTCTCCAGGCAACATATCCACACCGCCATTACTTACATCCATCAGAGCTGTTTCCAGGATGTCGTCGATGGCAAACATTTGGCGGAGGGTGAAGATGTGATCAATGCATCCTCGACCAGAACGAAAACCAGCCTGCTCCTCGTGAGTCAATCGTTCTCGGGTTTTAAACAACCTACGAAGAATGATAGAAGCCAATAGTTTGGACGCAATCGAAAGTAGACTTATCCCCCGATAGTTATTGCAGGAACAACGTGAACCCTTTTTAAAGATAGGGACGACTATTGACTCATTCCAAGATGTTGGAACACTTTCTTGCTCCCAAACCTTTGCAAACAACACAGTCAATTCCTTAGTCAGAAAGTCACCAGCATCTTTAAAAAGAGCCGGAGGTAAGTCATCTGGGCCAGGTGATTTGTAGCGCTTCAAGAGTTTGAGTTCCTTGCGGACTTACGCCTCGTTTGGTGGATCAGTCGTCACCGGCCATGGGAGGCAGGACAAACTGGTTGATGTTGCCGGAGCAGCAGGCCAGTTGAACTGCCCTTCGAAAAATTCCGCCCATCGTCCAAGACGTCGACAGATGTTAGTGATTGGCACCCCGTCATCCTCGTAGATTGTTTCACTCACACCAGACTTCTTGCTGCCAGTGGCTCGGATGAGTTGGAAGAGCTTCCGGCAGTTACCAGATGCAGCTGCTGCTTCCATCTCATTAGCACGCTCCGTCCACCAGGCTTCTCGGTCCTTACGCAAGCTTTGCCCGATTTCATTACGTAACAGTCTTCGTTTGTGGTCATACTCACGGTCACCCGGAGTAGACCGACGGGCTTCCATCAGTTGCAAGGAGCCAGAAGAAACCCAGTGCTTATAAGCGGGACGTTTCGCGAAGCCGCAAGCGGCTTTACTCGCCATTTTCATGGCGTCGTGAAGGTGCAACCAATGCTCATAACTTACAGCCGTATAGCAGGAATATATCTTAGTCCTATGATCCACAATATGTAAATTAGCAAGCCTCGGAGTGATATAAATAATGGCAAATATGCAAAACGTGTAATTTTTTAACATCTTTATAAAGACTTACTTCAAATAAACATAGGTGACGGGCCGAAAGTTCCTTTTCTAACCTTTTCATTTCAACAGATCGAAGACTATCAGATCTATCTGCTTGTATATTCTTTAAGGCAGCTGTCTGTTGAGCATGTTGAAGAGCAGCCCGTTTTTCACGACGACGAGCTGCTTTACTAATTTTTTGTGTCGATGAAAGTTTATCTGAAGGATACATAAGAGTCTTTTCCAGATGTTACCCTGAGTGCAAGTATTATCCATATTCTACAGAGATATCTTTTTCCTTACCGAACACAAGGGACAGGATTCTTCGCAAACAGCTTCAACTTAACAAACGGACTTGAATAGCTCCACGTTTTGTAATTTGAAAATGAATCTAGATGATAACTAAAATAACATACAAGCCAAAGTTAAGAATGTTTCTGAGAAAATAATTAAAAAATATATTAAGGTATGAATATGTCTGTGATAGTCATATGAAGCAAACGGCAGAAACAACAATCGTTCATGGAAGATTTCTTGGTAGGATTAAACTATACTGCCGAGCTAATCAGAAGCTTTCGCGGGTTTTCAAGGTTCAAGTTCGGTACCTGATGCTTACGTATAGTCGGTTTACAGCGGATTTTAGGGAAGACGTGATAATTTAGCGTATACAATAGAAGCGATCATAAGATTTTGGCGCGAAATTCAATTATCCATTTGGATAAATAGAGTTTTGGCATTATAGCTGATGTCAGTTCGTGATGAAAACCCTAAGTATAATTCCTAGCCTTAATCATGAACTGTAAATCAGAAGTTGAATTCTTCACACAGGTTTATGACCCTCATTTGGTCTTAGTTATTATGTTGACACTCTCAGAGTTACTCTAGCTTCGCTCAAAGGTTGTCCATAACCTATAGTCTCACCCTAAACCCTACACCTAAACCTTAACTCTAACCCTAACCCGTAAACCATACCAATATACTAACATTATTGAAGCTATGTGGTCGAGGCTAAAAGAATTTTTGAGACCATATCATGGTTTCAGAGGTCGACTACTATGGAGCCATATGGATGTGTTCCTGTACCGTATGCACTATGATTTTAGAACTTCTGAACCTATATTTGACCTTGAGAAGTTTTTGACCCATGTAAAAGAAGTGTTTCCACTTTAATTCTTTGGTTTTGTATAATATATTTTTACTGCATACTAACTGTCTTCTGATTATCTAATATTTCTCAAGGTCATTTAGGATTCGTTCAAAGGTCGGCAGTATAGTCTAATCCTACCGATTTCTTTAATTGAAGACATCTGAGTTCATTGCGTTAGAATAATAAAATGGTGAATGAAAGTGATAAAAACATATCATTTCACAGCTGAAAATAACATAACAGCAACAAAGAGCGTAAATAATAAGAAACATCGGTGTTTACACCTTACTACGATAATTTGGGGGAAAATAACAGAAAAACCTACGTAACGCAGCCATTTGAATCTACCGCTTACTGTCACATATCTTACTTAGCCACATATCTACAAAAACAACTTTTTGTTTAAAAACAGTCTGAAGACAATAATATTTATATATTTGAAATTTCCTGAAGTTCATACATCAGGGTTTTTTATTTGCTTGTTGACAGTGTTCATTTATGCTTGTTGACGATCAAAAATAATTTTCTCCTTGAAGGTAAGTTGCGTAATCTCTTCGTTCTCACTTACTATCAACAAATACCTTCCTTGTCCCATAAGATGAATTTAGTAGAAATACACGAGAAAGTTCGTAGACCTAGGGCAACAGTGAAGTTGTCAATCGACCTTGAATGTCATGTGTCCACATATAACGGGAAGTTTAGTAGAATACGAGCGATATTCTCGTAAAAACAAACTTGCTTTTTTCTTGATAACTTTCCAACGAATGCACGGTCGGTTTCTTGAAAATTGTTCGAGTAAGTTATATGAGACAAGGCGTCTGGCACTATGTTCTCCCCAGAAATATGTTGTATATCTGAAGTAAACTGCGAAATGTAGACCACTTGTCGAGGCTCTCTAGGTGAGTACGTGTCTAAAGACGAGCTTAGAGAGAAGTTAGGGTCTTGTGGTTAGTGAAAAGAGTGCATTCTCGACCTTTCAGGTTGTTGAAAGTGTCGTATAGCACAAAACATCACTGAAGTTCCTTGGCGAATGTGCTATACCACGATTCAGTGTCTTGCAACAGTCCCGAGAAGAATGCCGAAAGTTACCAGCTGTTGTTTACACAATGTTGTAAGACTCCTATGATTACCGAGCCGTACGCGCTATTCATATTAGAAGATGTTACTAGTAGTGTTGTCAAACTACGATACCTGTGACATCTTCAGCGTCTACTGCGACAGTAATGGGTGCATTGGTGTCTTGGTATGCGAGTATAATCGCTTTTGCTATAATTTCCCTAACTGTAAAGAATGTTTGTTGCGTTTTGTCGACCGAAACAATTTAGAGGAAACAGAGGGATATTTCAAGAACCCTATAGACGTTGGGGATATTCATGGATTAAAAAATACTTTGCTTTGTATGTTCTCTTTAATTGAAAGATTCAGATTCAGTCAAACTAGGATTCAGGAATGAAGGAGCTGGGAAATACACTAATAAGTATATGATCTAAGCTCTATTGTTCCTGCGAGGGATGGATAGTACCATGTACTCAGCGGTGACCTGATGTGAATGCTTGACCGATCGCCTTCAGCTAGGACATCCCCAATGAAATTAGAGAAGTTTCCATCAATGTCGAAGATTTACAGAACTAATATTTTACGGATTCATTTTCCACTACTGCAGAAATAAATAAGGCATTCGTGTCGTATATGTTTTATTGCCGATTAATAACAGATTAAATAATGCTATCTGACTAAGTGATGTTCGCGCATTCATTTACGTTATTCAGAATAGGCTTACACACGCACTATAACTTACTAAATGAGAACTGACATTGGTCCCTCTAGATATATATAATTCGGAACAAGGGCAGTGAATTCGTACTTGTTGTGATTATCGATGCTTTTGTGTATTTGTTACATCAAAAAGCATTCTTGTTCTACTTCAACTTGAATTATTTCGGTTAGGGTTTGAAATTTTGTTCAAAACTTTGTCTCATGGTACCTTCTTTCTCATTTACTCTGACACTTATGTTTCTGCTGTGATCATATTGTGTTTTAAACCCTAGTCTGATTACAATGGTTGGCAGAACTTACAAATGTGGACGGCCAAATTGTTTATTCCTCGTGTATGAAGGGATGCAGTGTGATGAATGTAAACAGTGGTTCCACAAGATGTGTATCCGTCTTAGTCCCGCTGCATACAAAAGATGCTCTAAGCCCAAATCACATTTGCTTTGCATGTTCAGCTGCACAAATAGGACGAATTTGATCCAGGAGGCTATGAGCCTATTAGCTCTGGACTCTAAAAAGAACGATAGTGGTTGCGCTGGTAACACAAGTACTGACTGTGAAGACTGTGTCATTGTTGTATGTGCTGTAACAAAACTCGTTAAACAACCTAGTAGTCACGACAATTTTGACATTCCAGTGAGACCGGATGTCTCTTGAAGATAGAATAACAAGGAACACGGCACTAGCTGAACTAGAAACCTGTCTACAGAACGGTGAGAATAATTTCCGATTGGTGGGTTTTCGAATAGTCAGGTCTTCTAGGTGAATGCTACCAAGGCCTGTGTGGATAGGTCGTTCTCCTTGGGGGTTTTATATGCCAACGCTCGTAGTCTAAGACATGAATTATATGAACTAGGAGCATTAGTGGACAAAGTAAGGCCACTAATTGGTTAGTCCTTGACTTCGACATCACCTCAAAGTTATCCGGATACCACTTCTTTGGAGGTGAGAGACATAGATGAATGATAGAAGGTGGCGTTCTTCTATACATATTCTATAATATAAATATCCGCTCCTCTGTTTGCGAATTCCATGATAGTGGAACTTGTGAAGTCATTAGCTGTGGGCTCACTGTCAGATGTTGAACAATTTTACTTGGTGTCATATACCTCAGTCCAATCTGCTTAACTTATGACTTTATTTTAGAGCACATTCAGCTACGGAGTGCAAATAACAGATGATTGACATGGGGAAACTTCAATGCACCTGAAATTATTTGGACTGAGATGACCACGAATGGATCTATAAACTCCTTTGATAGTAGGTTTCTGGTAACAGTAATGGAACATGCATTAAACAGCATTTATACAAACCTACACGTTTTAGTGTAAGCCAAGGTTCTCTGTTGGACTTGGTAATCACTCATGAGACTGAGAATATTGCCAACCTAAATATTTTTCCCGGTTAGTAAATAGGGATCACACTGACACGATAAACGATCGGGTTAAGCTTCGCCCAAACATATGGAGAGCTAACATATCAGCCATTCAGGTGTGTGTTGCTAAGACAGATTGGTCAGTAGATACTAGCACATCAGTTGAAGAAGCATTGTATATATTTAAAGGCAAGCTTATTTCAGTCATGTCCTCGTTCATACCTTACTTGGTACCACGTAGACCGAATTATAGTCCATCATGGATAAACAAACAAGTCAAGAAACTTCTTAGACGTAGGAAAAAGAACTGGAATATGTTCATCTCTACTGGCTTAGAACAGTACAGATGCAGTTATTGTAAGATTAGGAATATTTGTAAGGCGTTAATTAGTAAGACTAGACGGTCATATGAAAAACAATTGGTTAGGGATTGTAAATATATTCCAAAACAATTGTTCTCATATATAAAGAGGCGAACTCAGAGAAGTGATGGAATCCCATCACTTTTTGTACGAGAACATTTGTTAATATTGGAAAGAAATGACATCAAAAAAGCTGAAGCTTTATCGGAATATTTCTGTAAAGATTTTTCCTATCAGTAATGAGGAATGACCAACTATTCATTGTAATTGTGGCGGCTTGTTGATGGACCCTGTCGTTATTGAGAAAGATACTGTCCTAAGACTACTTCAGCATCTCAAACCTGATAAGTCCAGTGGTCCTGATGATATTCATCCTAGGATTATGAAAGCCCTATCAGATGTAATTGCTGAACCTTTATCTATAGTGTTTGATATGTCCCTGCGAGTAGAGATTTAGTTAGTAACTATCAACCCGTTAGCCTAACTGGTGCAGTTGTAAAACTGATGGAAAAAATTAATCGGATGGCTGTTATTGACTATATGGAGGGACATGATCTTTTATCCAGGGAACAATATGGTTTTCGGAAAGGCCTATCTTGTTTGACAAATCTTTTCATTGCAAGAGAAGAGTGGACTGAGGCAAAAGATCGAAATGTTCCTGTAGATGTGATTTTCATAGATCTAAGTAAAGCCTTTGATAATGTTTCCCATTCTGGTTTTAAATCAAAACTGGAAAGTTTTGACGTTTATTATACAGTCATAGATTGGATAAGTGACTTTCTACATGACGGGAGACAAAGGGTAAGATTAAATGGAGCTCTCTCATCGTCGGAACCTGTAAAAGATAGAGTTCCCCAAGGCAAAATCCTAGGTCCTCTTCTCTTTTTACTTTATGTAAATGAATTGCCAACTGTAGCTAAGTCATCCGTCCTACTCTTCGCCGATGACATAAAGATTTGGAGACCCATATACAGCACGTCAGATAGAATAGCAATACAGGATGACATCAGCTCATTAGTGGCATAGATGAACAGGTGGTCACTATAAGTGAATCCTAACAAAAGTTTGGTGATGCAATTAAATAACTACGATGACTCGTATTACTACACAATATGTCGATTTGTGTTACCCAAAGTAAGAAACAATTAGGAAGTCATACTAAGCAATGATCTCAAAGCAGCCAGCCACTGTAGGGCTGCTGATGCAAAAAGCTATAGGTTGTTATGGTCTATTCGTAGATCTTTCCAGTATTTGGATGAGGAAATGTTTAGATTATTATACCCGACTTTCGTACGACCACATTTGGAACATGGGATATAAACAGCGAGTCCTTGTTTCAAATATGAGACGGATATGCTGGAAAGAGTCAGATGCCGAGGGACTAGATTGGTAAAAGATCTATCTGGCCTATCTTATGGAGACAGATTGAGACACTTCAACTCATTTCCGTTATCTTACCGTAGAATACGGGGCGATCTAATACTGGCTTATCATATCCTGAACGATGACCTTTGTACTAATATATCTGTAATATTCAGAAGTATTCGAATTATAGTATAAACTAGTAATCCCAGCAATAATGCAATTTAATCAAGAAGGATGAGATTAGCACTTACGAATGTACTGCATTTGGAATTCAAAATGGAAGCAGTCATCAATAAAAAGAAAGCATTGATTCATTCAAACATCACATCCTCCACATCTCAAATTGGAGTGCAAGCGTCTGTAATCGATTGTATGTCTTCTTCTCAAGTTCATCTTACGTCTGTTCGACAGTGTATTGGATATAGACTCAGTATTACCTAGAATGCACTCGTTAGTATTAGAATTAACAACCGAAATGGGAACAGACTCACCTGATCCCTGGAATTGTATTTAATCATCATGCCGGTTGTGTAGTGAAACCACTGATATTTAGAATTTGCATCATAGACTTTTCAACACTAACTCCGCCTGCAGCTCCTCTGGGGGTTACCGCCGGTCCCAAGCCCACACAAAGGAGGAGGGTTGGGCATGGGGTTAGCGACCTCATCCCGTAGAAAATCAACTCGCTAAAAAAACGCTAACCAGAAAAAATCAGTCAAACCTTTCAAACTCTGCCCTGGGAGTAGAAGGAATAATTATGACGTCTCATGATGAAAGCCGAGTTCATTCGGAAGTCATGAGGCCGATGCACCTTCTTACAACCAGAGCAACAATTTTTACATAGGTACATGGAATGTCCGGACAATGTGGGAGACCGGAAGAGTCTTCCAAATTGCTGCAGAAATGAGAAAATACAACCTGGAGGTGCTTGGAATCAGTGAAACGCATTGGACGCAGGTTGGACAACAACGACTGTCTTCAGGAGAACTTCTGTTATACTCCGGTCATGAAGAAGGAAATGCCCCACATACACAAGGAGTTGCATTGATGCTGTCTAGAAAAGCACAAAATGCACTTATAGGATGGGAATCTCATGGACCAACGATCATCAAAGCCTCCTTCAAAACAAAGAGAGAGGGCATTACAAAGAACGTCATCCAATGCTATGCGCCGACCAACGACTACGATGAAGACGCTAAAGACCAATTCTACGATAGGCTGCAGTCGATCTTCGAGAAGTGCCCAACCAAAGACCTGACATACACAAAGCCACTTGGATTTCACCGGATCACACTACACAGAATCAAATCGACCATATCTGCATCAACAAAAAGTTCAGGAGGACGATGGAGGATGTGAGAACCAGGAGAGGAGCTGTAATAGAATCCGATCATCATTTGCTGGTCGCCAAGATGAAACTAAAACTCAAGAAGCACTGGACAACGGCACGGACAACATCACAAAAGTTTAATACGGCCTTTCTTCGAGATGATGACAAACTCAACAAATCCAACATAGCCCTCAGCAACAGGTTCCAGGCCTTTCATGATCTACTCAATGGAGAGGGAACTACCATGGAGAGCAACTGGAAAAGTATCAAGGAGGCAATCGTTTCAACATGTCAGGAAGTTCTGGGCCAAAAGAAGCACCATCACAAGGAATGGATCACTGTTGGTACACTGGATAAGATTGAAGCAAGGAGGAACAAGAAGGCAGCAATCAATATCAGCCGAACCAGAGCGGAAAAAGCCAAGGCACAAGCCAAATACACAGAGGCAAACAAGCAAGTGAAGAGGAGCATCAGAACCGACAAACGTAAGAGAGGGAAACATGAGACAACTGTATGATACAAGAAAGAAACTTGCTGGAAATTACCGTAAACCAGAAAGACCAGTGAAATGCAAGGAAGGCAAAGTAATCACCGACATTGAAGAACAACGTAACAGGTGGGTAGAACACTTCAAAGAACTCTTAAATCGACCAGCTCCACTGAACCCACCCAACATCGAAGCAGCACCCACAGACCTCCCAATTGATGTTGGCCCACCAACGATTGAAGAGATCAGCATGGCCATTAGACAAATCAAGAGTGGCAAAGCAGCGGGACCAGACAACATCCCGGCGGAGGCACTGAAAGCAAATGTAGCAGCAACTGCCAAGATACTACACATCCTCTTCAGTAAGATTTGGGACGAAGAACAATTTCCAACAGACTGGAAAAAAGGACTTCTGATCAAAATACCAAAGAAAGGTGATCTTAGCAAGTGCGACAACTACAGGGGCATCACTCTCCTCTCAATACCAGGAAAAGTCTTCAACAGGATATTGTTAAACAGAATGAGGAACTCCGTAGATGCCCAACTTCCAGACGAACAGGCTGCATTCCTTAACGATCGATCGTGCACAGACCCAATCGCAACTCTACGGATCATTGTGGAACAATCAATCGAATGGAATTCATCACTGTACATCAACTTCATCGACTACGAGAAGGCATTTGATAGCGTGGACAGGACGACACTATGGAAGCTTCTTCGACACTACGGCGTGCCTGAGAAGATAGTCAATATCATACGGAACTCCTATGATGGACTAAACTGCCAAATCGTCCACGGAGGACAACTCACCGACTCGTTTGAAGTAAAGACTGGTGTAAGGCAAGGTTGCTTACTCTCACCCTTTCTCTTTCTCCTGGTCATCGCCTGGATCATGAAGACGTCAACGACTGGAGGAAAACACTAGATACAGTGGACAGGTAGGATGCAACTTGACGATTTAGACTTCGCGGATGATCTGGCTCTTCTATCACAAACGCAACAACAAATGCAGGAGAAAACGACCAGTGTAGCAGCAGCCTCAGCAGCAGTAGGTCTCAATATAAACAAAGGGAAAAGCAAGACTCTCCGATACAACACAATATGCACCAATCAAATTACACTTGACGGAGAAGCTTTGGAGGATGTGGAAACCTTTACATATCTGGGAAGCATCATTGATGAACACGGTGGATCAGATGCAGATGTGAGGGCGAGGATCGGCAAAGCAAGAGCAGCATACTTACAACTGAAAAGCATCTGGAGCTCAAAACAATTGTCAACCAACACCAAGGTTAGAATTTTCAATACAAATGTGAAGACAGTTCTACTGTATGGGGCGGAGACGTGGAGAAATACGAAAGCCATTATCCAGAAGATACAAGTGTTTATTAACAGTTGTCTACGCAAGATACTTCGGATGCGATGGCCAGACACTATCAGCAACAAGTTACTGTGGGAGACAACAAATCAGATTCCAGCGGAGGAAGAAATCAGGAGGAAGCGCTGGAAGTGGATTGGGCGCACTTTGAGGAAATCACCCGATTGCGTCACAAGACAAGCCCTCACATGGAATCCTGAAGGTCAAAGGAGAAGAGGAAGACCAAAGAACACATTACGCCGAGAAATAGAGACAGACATGAGAAGAATGAACAAGAACTGGATAGAACTAGAAAAGAAGGCCTAGGACAGAGTGGGTTGGAGAATGCTGATCGGCGGTCTATGCTCCATTGGGAGTAACAGGCGAAAGTAAGTAAGTACGTAAGTAACTTTTCAACACTATTCTTGTCCACGAACTACTGTCGGGTCCTTACGTCACGATGTTATAATCAAAATGACGTTCCCAATTTGCATTATCTCAAATCTCACGCTTCGATTACTGTATGTGAGTATTTGGGGATAAAAACTGACACGTAATTTGAAGCATTCCATCACGTGAATTTGATTAGAAATTTTTGTCTCACAACGATTCTGGGTTTCATTCAACTCTAAAATGTTATGTGACGTTATGCCGCATCCAGAAGTATTGGATAAAGGTAAGTGACAATTAGAAACATCCACCATAGCATTACTTTCAGCGAAATGAACCATGATATTACAAACTGACTTAATTTACCCAGTCTTACCAAATTTAAAGCATTTGGAATTACGAAATACACATGAATTACGTGGTTGAAACTTGCCATAGAACAAGCATTTACCAAACTAATGCTCATCTTCGCGAACTGTTTCACAATTTACAGAATTGTTATCTGAATAACCTTGATTACGTATTGGACTGCGACGACGTAATACGGTGATGGAATTCCTGATGTTCTGCGAGTCATTTCATCGAATTTTCCTCCTTTACCGTATTCGAAATTTGTATGCTTCACATGGTCTAACAGTAGTTGCTTGAGAGTTGCATGGGGGAGTGAAATCGGTTTGTCTGGAAATGCTAAAGGCTTTATTAAGCTGTGTGCTTCTTTTCCAATGAACGTAAGGGAATGAGCCATAATATTAAAATCCTGAATATGTTCCTTGGTCATAGCCCAGATTTCAAACCTCTCCATGTATTCCTCAAAGGCATTAAAATCTGAATGTATATTCAACCGTCCCATCACAGGCTGCATCGCGACGCCAATGTGACGTCTAAGAGTATTTGAATTATAGTATAAACTAGTAATCCCAGCAATAATGCAATTTAATCAAGAAGGATGAGATTAGCACTTACGAATGTACTGTATTTGGAATTCAAAATGGAAGCAGTCATCAATAAAAAGAAAGCATTGATTCATTCAAACATCACAAGACCCTATCTTTTCCCTTCGTCTAGGATTGATCGTTTGAGAGGATATTCGAAGTAAGTCCAAAAACCGAGATCAAATCGTCTACGTCTGGAGTTTCGTTACTCGCACTGAGTAGTGAGGTACTAGAATTCTCTACCAGAACATGTAATATCAGCACCTTCTGTTTGTCTATCCAAAACGAGATTGGACCTTCACAGTGTAACAAACTGCAAGGATTAATATATGTCAATAGACCTATCCTTATTACTGAAGTCTGAATCCATACTGAACCTTCATGTTCAAAAATTATTTTGTCAGCTTTAAAATTCGAAGGAAAGATTACAGAAATTTCGTTTCTTAGTGGATAAAATACTTTCTTTCTATACATTCAACTTTTATGTGATGCAGAATTTGAGGCTTGAATGGTCAGAAGCGGGCCACATCTAACGTACGGTACTGTGAGGCTGTAAACTACGGCTGACATTTCACTTAGACCGATGTCTTCAGCATCCTCTAGTAAAGCAAAGCCTCAAACAGAAGAGGAGGTAGTGGAAGGTTTTAATCGTTTGCGTTACGAACAGCGTTCTATCGGGAGCAAAATTAATGATCTAGAACTTGATCAGAGGGAACACAAGTGAGTTCTTGTAAAGATATCTACATTTCCTACTTTATGGATAACGTG